AAAAACAAAAAAACAAGCCAACACAGTGAACAATTAACTAAGTGACCCATCTGAAAATTTGAGCTTATTTCCCTCAAAGTTCTTAGTGACTAATGTAATTCAAATATAATTTTAAAGCTATGTACAATATCTTTTTCCATGTACAGGCAGAGGAGAACATGAGTTCCTCACAGTGTGCAGAAACAGCAGTGTAGTTATTTTGTTGAGGCAGTTGTGGATAAACCATATGCACTTCCAATTGAATTCAGTTGCTGTAAAAGAACAATCTGTCAAAGTTCTTGTCACTTTAAGCTATGATCGTAATAAAAAACAGCACAGTTGCTACTGTGGGAGAGTAATCAAATCGAGATAAAGAAAAGTTCCCTCCGTTACTCCTGTGCACACTGAGTTTACATTTTTTAAGGAATATTTTTTGCTTGCTGTGCTTTTTGAATATTTCCTCATTAGAAGGAATACATTCTGATTTTTGCAGTCACATTTTACATGTCTACAGATCAAGCAAACACTATTGTTATTGAATTACTTGCCTTACCATTTCTAAAAATTCCATAGTTTAGATGTTTACTGTGAGGGCAAATGCAAAATAACATCTAGGTAAAAATTAAGCACTGAACAAATTAATATGCTCAAAATCTATTAGCATTATATTCTCAGTGCAGTATATGCATATGTACAGATATGGGGGTGCATATCCATGTCTACAAGTGTGAAGTCCAGAGGTCAGTGTTGGCTAACCTCTTCCATAGCTTTCTACTCTGTTTTTTGAGGTAGGCTTTCTCACTTAATATCTAGGTTGTTTTGCCCAAGCCTTTCTACTTCACCAGCACTGTAATTATAGGTTCAAACTACCATGCTCAGCTTCTATGTGAGCGCTTGGGATTTGAAATCAGTTCCTCATACTGACACACTTTACCCTTCATGGCATCTTCCCAGTCCTCAACATGAAGTTCTTATGATTAGAGTTGCTGAACATTAAGAAAATATGAAACTGAACAATTTAAATGCTGGTTTTTCCTAGTGTCATAACAATAAGATATTCCTAGAAAAAAGTTAAACTCTACAGTCATCATTCTTACTGATTGTGTCATGAAGATTACAATATCCCCCAACAGTTGAACTGTAGAAAAAATTAGTGCTTATTTTATTGCCTAAAAATTTTGTGTAATTGTTCTAATGGCTATCAATGAACTCTTTAGATATTTGAGGATTTTTTAAAGCTCGCCATATTTATGCTTCTTTCTAAAATAATCATAATTTTATCTTCCAGAATCTTAGCATTAGAATATAATTTGAATGATTGGAAGTTTCATTAGTTTTCTTTTGGTAAAGGCTATTCCCTCTTTAGCATCAAAGAATAGGATTACCCAGTATCTGACATATCATTGCAGTGAACTGGGTTAATTAACACTGAAGTTTAGATATACAACTTATATAATTCAAAGCTGGGGAGATGGCTCAATGAGTCAAAAGTCTACTCTCAAACCTAAGGACCTGATCTTAGACCCTTGGAATTCACATGAAGAAACAGGCATGGTGATGAGCATCAATAATCCTAGCACCTCGCTGATAGAGACAAACTGAACTTCATAGCTTTCAGGCTAACCAATGGATGAGCTCTGAGCTCAAGAAGAGACATAGTCTTAAAAATAGGGCAGATGAACATACAATATGACACTGAACTTTGACTCTGACATCTACATACATGTACATTTGCACATAACACAGACACATATATACTACAGACATGTACATATGCACACAAATATAAACTAATAATAGTTAATAATACTACATCTTTTATGCATATATATGTGAAACAAGTATAATATAAAGAGATACTATATATCACTATATACATAATTACAGTTGATAATATACAGTGGCATATGCAAACCCATTAACATTTATAGTTTAACCAATATAGATATTTAATGTTTCTTAACTCCATATATACATATATATATATATATATATATATGATATCTATCATATATATATATATATCATATATATATGATATCTAATTAAAATCAGTATACATAGTCAAATAATTATTTGCACTGAGTCTCTAATGGATATTTGAAATTTAGATGGAACTGGATATTTTATCCAAATACTATCAACATTTCAGTCTAAATGGCCATAAAGCACATAATTAATGCTTTCTCATTTCCCTTGTTAAATATGGATTGATGCATTTTAACACTGGCAGTAATTATATTTACATAATCAGATATGTCTCTATTCTCAGTTTAATGAAACAAAAGTCAAAGAAAACCCTTAAGCAATGTTAGGATTGGCAGTTCTAATTCTGTTGCATGAATGACAGCATTCCCATCTAGTTCATGTGATCTAGATTAACAAGGTAGGAATCCACACTTCAATCCTGGGTGGTACAGAGATCTTTATTAACATAGTCAATCTTGAAAAAGAGCCATATTTTCTTAGTCCTTATATTGGACAGACCTCTAAAACACCCTGAAGACGGACGGGCTTTCTTTCTTATTTGTGCATCAATTGGTCCGGTCCATTGTCTACCACCATCCTCCATGGCTTCCAGGCAGATCCTATGACTCCTGAACACTTGGATCCTCAGCTGCTCTCTGACTCTTTCTGTTTGCACTAACTTTAGTGACCCTGATACCATATACATGAAGGACTACTCTCCTAACTCATGCAAATATATTTATCAAAGATCTTATTTCTTCCAGGGTCTTCGTCATAATTTAGCCAAGTCAATCAATTCATTTTTTACCAAACATTTATGATTATTAATAGTTAAGTCTGATAATGGCAGCCATCTTATTTTAACATAAATAATGAGTAATTGGAACTTTAAATATTGCAGCAGACAGGAAAGATGAAGTTGAATTTTAAAGTACTTGGACATTCCTGAAGTCGGCTTCCCCATGTACCTTTTCCTCACTCATTGCTTTGATGTTAATTTGCAGTGAGACAAGGGGTGCAAAGTTACACTGATATCAGCTCAGACAAGCAGACAAGTTAATAAGCAGAACTTGCATCCCAGGACCCTACCACATGTCTCATCTTTCAGTTGCTGAGCCCTGAGGGGTTGTGAGCTCTGTCAGCATGGTAACAAGTAGAACTTGGATGAAGGAGAGGCTAAACTGAGAGCTGATCTGGCATTCTTGAGATTCCACTCAATACTCTTAGCTATTTCTGAAAACAGACCTCATGTCCCTTGACAGAAATTTCCTGCCTAAACTACACAGATTTATTTTCTCTAATTTCTTTTTATTTCTTTTATTTTTATTCCTCTGTCATACATTACATCCTGACCACAGTTTCACCTCCATCCCCAGATCCACACCCCCTACATCTCTCCACAGACAAGAGTAGATACCCCAGGGACATCAGCTAAACATGGCATGACAAGCCACAATAAGACCAGGCACATACCATCACATGAAGGCTGGCAAAGCAACCCAGTATAAGAAAAAGGGTCCTACAAGCAGGCAGAGACTGTCCATATATTTACTGTTTGAAATCCCACAAGAACACCAAGCTACTAATCCATAATATATATGCAGAGGACCTAGGCCAGACCAACTCAGGCTCCCTGATCTCTAAAACAGCATGAGTCCCAGTTAAATGATTCTGTTCTCATGGTGTCCCTGAGCCCTCTGCTTCCTACAATCCTTCCTACCTACCTCCTCTTGCACAGGACTCCCTGAACTCTGCCTAATGTTTGGCTGTAGGACTCTGCATCTGCTCCTATCAGCTACTGCTTGAAGTCTTTCTGGACTTTCTGATGAAAATTCTGCTAAATTCTAGACCCAGAACACCAGACAGAGAGGATACACTGTAGTTCAAAGGTTTTTGTGGCTTGGTTTGTGCAAGGACCTCCCAGGAAAAGGAAAATAGAATAGATTTCCCATGTGGACTGGGGGTGGGTCAAGTTGAAAAGAGGACAGATCAGGTTGGGGCAGGTGGGGAAGAAAACACTGGGAGAAACTACAGGAATTGGCATGCATTTAGAGAGTGTGGTGGAAGCCTACTGCAATGAAAATTCCATGGACTCTATGAGAGTAACCCTAACAAAGACTCCTAGTACTGGGGGACACAGAGCCTGAATCCTTCATCTTCTGTAACCAGGCAATGCCTCATGGGCAGGGATAGGGACACCAACCAATTTTCCCGAATTCTATTCAAACAGATTGTAATTGGAGGTTTCTTTCCCACCTGCTAGTTCCCCAATAACAACGCTGAGGCTTAATATTGATTATAAATGTTTGGCAGATGGCTCAGGCTTATTACTAGCTAGCACATAAGAAAGAAACACATGGTCCCCCAAAGAAGGGGAAAGGGACAAGAACCCCTGAACAAATTGGGAGCAAGGGTGGAGAGGGGAGGGAGGTAGGAGAAAGAGAAGGGGAGAAGAGGAGGGGGAGGAAAACATGAGGGATCAGGAAGATTGAGTCTGGGGATGAATAGAGGAGATCAAGAAAAGAGATACCTTAATAGAGGGAGCCATTATAGGTTTAAAGAGAAATCTGGCACTAAGGAAATGTTCAGAGATCCACAAAGATGACCCCAAATAAGAATCTAAGCAGTAGTGGAGAGGCTGCCTTTTATGCCATTCCCCTCTAATGAGAGTTATGACTACCTTATATGCCATCCTAGAGCCTTCATCCTGTAGCTGATTGAAACAGAAGCAGGCACATACAGCTAAGCACTGAACCATAATCCCAGAATGCAGTTGTAGAGAGGTGGGGTGGTGAGCCAAGACCATGCTGGAGGGACCGAAAGAAACAGTTGACCTGACCCTAGTTGAAAGTTGGCAAACCAACATTGGTCTGAACCAAGCCTTCTGAATGTGGGTGCCAGCTAGGAGGCCTGGGCAGTCTACAGGAACCAGTATTTATCCCTAGTGCACAAATGGTCTTTGGGAGCTCATTCCCTATGGAGGGATACTATTGCAGTCCAGATACATGAAAGAGGGCCTGGGACCTCCCCCAAATGATGTGACAGACTTTGATGACCTCCCCCCCCATGGAAGGCCTCACTATCCTTAGGGAGTGGGTAAGAGGTGGGTTGGTGGGGTCAGTACAGGGCATGTGAGGATGGGAGGGTAACAGAATGGGGGGATTGATATTTAAAATAAGATTGTTTCTAAAATAAAAAATTAGAAATATGCAAGCAAAAAAGAAAAAATAAATTAACCCATTTATATTAATCTGTGTATTGCTATGTGGCCTGTGGCTTACCTGTGGTGATTTGACATGTTGTTCCTTGGGCAGCTGGATGAAGTCTCTTAGACTCTGCCCCTTTTCTCCTGTATCTCTTCTGGATTTCCCACCTGGTTCAATCCTGTCTTGACATATGCCAAAGTAGCTTTATTTATCAACCAATGATAGTAACACACATTTGCAGCATACAGAAAAAAATCCCACATCATATACTAATCCCTCATTTATCCATAAACAACAAAGATGAAAGTACTAACAGATAATTATGAAATGTATTAATAATATAAACAAATAAACTAATAAATATAATTCTGTCTATAAACCAGAAATAAAAATTATGGCCATGATTTGTTTAGACAATCACTACCACCATCCTTTTTATATCCTATAATACATCATTATATATAACAGTGCTATTCAATATTTCCCCTTGCCTCTCAGGATTAGTTGAGAGAGAAATGAATTGCCTCAAATGGTTAAATGGACAAAGTTTTTTGGGTCTTGTTCTTTTTTTATTTCCCCTTTGGTTTTCCACTGATTATTTTCATTTCCCAGTCTAAATAATTCAGAAATCCTTTGAATTACAATTTTTGCCAAAATGAAGACTTGAATTTTTCAGTGAAGTTAACCAGTATTGGGTAATAACCAATACCTTAGGAATTACTGGGTTCAGAAGTTCCTATTCAGGACGTGGCTGTTTGGTTTTCATCTCTGTGTTCATTTACTCTGGTTTGGTACAACTTTGGTTGCCTTCAGAAAGATTAAAGTCAGGTAAGTTTGATGGCAAGCCTTTGGATTTTGGGATCAAAAATAAAAAATTTCATATTAATTTACATGTTTTATTGCAAAAAATGTACTTATTTGGAGAAGTTGTAGCACTTAGGAAGCCTGAATATAATACATTTCTGAAGACTATAAGTCAGCATATCACCATTCCTGATTTTTGTCTTATGTGTTGCTATCTAAACACAATAGAAGGATATAGCACTTTGATGGCAGTGTACTGTAATTCTGATGTGCATATCGCTTTCCTCTCTATTTACCTCCCATATATTTCCACATGTAGTAAATATACAAATAAATAAATAGGGACACTGCATTCTCCCCTCTCCCCTCTCACATCTGTCTAAAGAGAACCCTCTCTTCTTGTTGTTGAAACATTATCACTTTCAAACCTCTCATTACCTTTAGTCTCCTGAACTCCTTTGATGCAGGCAGTGTACAGACACTACTCAAGCAGCAACAGAGTACCTTATTTCCTAGCAGCAGTGGCTGCATTTTCTTGGGAGGACTTTAGCTTTGAATTTATTCAGTCACATTCAGAGAATTTTTGTTTTCATTTCAGACAATATTCTTCAGGCAGTGTACCTCATGGAAAAACTAAGATTCATGTTTTCCAGATGGCAGAATGTATCTCCCATAACAACTGTGCATTTGTATAGTGATTTTGATTAGAACAATTTTTCTTTCTAGTATGGGTTGAAAACAACTAACAACTTCTGGCTTACTTGTCTGCCCATTCCATGTTGTAGTTTTTGTGTAGGAAGCAGGAGAAATGAATACAACTAAAAACTGAAAACAAAGAAACATCAATGAGAAGCATTTACCCCAACTGGAAATGCCTGCTAGACTCGGGGAAGTATAAAACATTGAATATGATATTTAGTGAGTGAAATAGAAGAAATACCTGTGTCTTTAAAAACAAAACCCAAACAAACGAAAACCAGTGCTACATGTGGAAGGAAGCAACTCTTCTGAGAAGAAGAAGCACAGCAGTGACAAACATTGGCAGAGTAGAATACAGTGAACATCAGGAAGCATCCTTGTTTTCTCCCAAGTAGCCTTTGATAGCAGGAAGCACTGTTGGTGAACTCCAGTGCCTGAGAAAGGAGAATGATAATACTGTACCAAAGATGTCACAGACAGCAAGAACTAAGCTTTCTACAGGTGCACTTAGTGTGAACCTTGCAGTGACAATGACAGCACTGACCCAACTGCATTTTCCCTAAGATCTGGATCACTTTGCATCTATTTTAAATAAGCTATGTATATCTACTTAGGGGAAAAGGAGGTCTTCTACAGATTGCCCACCTTCCTCAGGGAAGAAAACTCGTTTTACAATGTAATTATTATGCAAAAATATTTAAAGTAATGTTATTTATATGCTATGTAACTGTAAGTAAACAATAACTGGCCTATGCTGCTGGTGTGATTAAAGGGAATAGCAACTTGAACATTACAATTAAACTCCAATGCTTTCCAATTCCAATTAATCCTTTTGATTTAGAGTTTCATTTGAGGATTTTATCAAGGTGAGACTATTTACTTACAAAATGCATTCTTCTCCACTGTCTAAGGTTAGTTGTTCTGACATGAGCTACACAAATACTTAGTTTCCCAAATACTTGTCTTTTATTCCACTAAAACAATATTTTTCTGTCACCAAATTTATTCATCTTCACATAGTACCCATGTACTCATGGACCTCTTCTTAAATGTAGGCACTGGGGTAGGCAAGAAAGACTAGGTTTTAGTTTTATGAACCAAGAACATGAGTCATAACATTGTGTCAGTTTTTCGCAGCATCAAAATGCAAACAAGACACTTAATAAATTATTGAAGATGATTTTCTCATGTATAATGAAAACTACATAAAAGAGAGCAGGAATGTAGCTTACTAAATTGTCAAATGTTTGATATCATCTTGAGGGCACACGAAGGCATCATGGAGGCCTGGGTAGGGATGTATACAGCTAATGTTTAATTCTTAACAATAGAATTTCATTATGATACCCAGTTTACTGAACATTTAAGTTCTAGACAAAACGATGGGCAATGGTAATGACTGAAGTATGGCTTTCATCTTTTATGTAATTCTCAACAGAAAACCTTCCAGATCTTATCTTTTTGTGTTTAGTTCTGAGGATAGAATCCAGGCCTGACACATGCTAGGCAATTGCTCTACTACTGAGCTCTAACTGGCAAACCTGAAGTTTCAAAAAAATGCCCAAATGCTAGAAACCATCCTATTTCTGTGGTTGCGGGAGTCTGTCAATTTCTGTGAACAATTGCAGAGAGCGCTATGACTTCGTGTAATGTCATAACTGCCAGGGAAATTGAAGATACATTAAAACAAATTTTTTCATTTAATAACTAGTTCTGGCCATTGTCTTTTCTTTTATTTTATTGTTGATATTTACTTTTCTTTGTCTATCCATGTGTTCTTTGAAACCCAAGAAGTCATAAGCCTTTGTTCTGGGCTGAATTTTGAATGATAATACTGTAACTGATGGTCTGTTCTATGTGATGGATAAAAGACTTGATTAGCCAGGAATAACTCTTGTGTCACACTGCAGAGATTCCTATTGCAGCTCATACTATCTGAGCACACAAGACTGATTCTTTCTCTCCCCTTTCTTCACCTCTCACGTGAGAAAAAAAAATAATTGTACTCATCTCACATGACTGCTGGAAAAATACAGTTAAATGAAATGATAATAGGTACTTGGCAGTGTCTGGCAAACAGCAAGTGCTCAATTAATATTCATTAACAGTGTCAGATGTGTCTAAAGCCCTCAACCACACAGTGGACAAAAGATATGACCTAAGGAATTTCAGGTCCCTTAGGGATCTTAAAGAACTTCTGCTGAAGCTGTTCACTCTGGCAGGTTCCCACATAAATCACTTTTTAATTTTTATTCTATCATTAAGAAGTCTAAAGTTAAAAAAGAAAAGAAAAGTCAGAGGTGGTGGCACACACCTTTAATCCCAGCATCAGGAGGTAGAGTCAGAATCAGGTGAATCTCTTTGAGTTCAAGGACAGCCTGGTTTGCAGAGCAAGTCCCAGGACACCCAGTCCTGAAAACACCAAAAAACAAAATGTCTAAAGTTTCCAGATACTAAGTCCCCCAAATTAAATTTCTACAGACTTCCAAACTGTCTACCAGCTCATTCTGTCATTTGGGAAAAGTCCATTTCCCTTCCAGGGACTAACATCTTGGTAAGATGAAGAGGACTCACTGGGGATTTAAAATACAACCTGGAATCTATTCCAAGATTCCCCAGAATAACATGATTTGGATTCTTGATTTCATATGTGGGCATAGGGTGTGTGTGTGGGAGGTGGGGGGTGTAAATGCATGTGTATGAATGTGTAGGTAAACTGAGAGTCCTTGTGGTTTGTAACTGAACTGAACTTTTACAGAAGTTACAGAATCTTATTATTCTTTCAGTATGGCTATAGTTCTTAAATGTGTTATTTTATGTCACCTTAGTTATTATATATAGATATTATTTATATTACCTTAGCATGATATAATTAGAACATGTAAGGAAATGCTATAGTGGGGAATAGTGAGATGTTTTACATATTTAGATTAATGTTTAAACCTTACACTTGCTGATTAGTAGAAGTATAATATTAAATGTGGTATTTCTCTTGTTTAACTTTCATTTTATATATTTTTGAATAATATTTTTAAATTCTTTGAGAACTTCATACATTCATACAGTATTTTAAAGTTGTATCTTCTTCCCTTTAACTTTCCTAGTATTCCCCTCTCAATTCTAGAAAGCATTTAAAAAAAACTGTTTATTAATAGCCTGAGACCAGTTAGTGCTTCTCACATGTGCAGAGGTGTGGTCATCCATTAGAATACTAGTAACAAAACAGTAGCCATGTCCTCAAAAGATAATGCATCTCCCTGGCTCAGCAGCAATCAGATGACAATAGCTTCTCCACTGGAAGTATGGCCTCAGAGCCCCTCTGCCATCTGTGCTTTGAATTTGATTGCCTTGATTTTGCACAGGTCTTGGGCAGATAGCCACCATTTC